GGAGCACTGCATACACACCCTCCCCTCCTGTCCCCTCCTACTTGATTTATTATTACTCTTGCTTAACAAGATTTGGATTTATCATGTTTATGTCTTGTAATTATCAAAGTCCTTTTGGACAAGCTTGGTGTACATAAATAATAACAGTAACTACCAAGTATTATAGTTATTAATTATATTAATAGTTATCATTATACTATACTATATACAAAATATGTAGTATACTGTACTTTACATAATACTATATATATAATATTATACTATGTATGATCTATAGTTTATAGATCTATATCTACAATAGCTATACTATCATAATAGTTACACAGTGTGAATGCTATAGTATACAATAACATTCCAATTTATATACATTATCTTTCATCCTGACAATGTGGGAAGAACTTACAAATAACAAGGCACAAGAGTGGTGGGCAACTGGCTCACCTCCTCATAGCTAGTAAGTGGTAGATTCAGGGTTCAAACCCAAGCAGGGAGGAATCTATGTCAGGGTTTGTTCTATTGGTAAGTTGCCTCTAATGGTGTCCATCTCATTAACATCCCTCTCTGAGCTATCATTGATCAGATAGAGCATCTGCAGTTTTACAAAAGCTGTTTACTAAGCTGAGATAAAGCAGGGTTAACTACATCACACACATGCACACGCGCGCACACACACAGAGAATCCTTTTATTCCATTAGATTCTTTCAACCAGACGTATCCATGCCTACTCCATGCCAGACTCAGGCACTAGCACAGTCAGGCATGGTCTCTGCTCTCTGGAAGCTTCCATTTTCACTCCTGCTAATTCCTCAGCTATGTCCTAAATGATTTCTTCCATAGGCATCCCTTGTCACTCCAGACTTAATTAGGTACCTCATTCTACACCCTGGATTTTTCCTTCATAACATTCATCTTCCTTCAATTACTTGTTCACTGTCCTTCATCCCATCACCCTGTGACCGCCATGGAATCATGATGGCTGTCCTGTTCCTATTCTATCCAGTAGCACATGGCACTTAAGAGAAACTTAGTAAATATGTGCTGAATGAATGGGTGCAAACAAGCAGTGGGAGCAGGCTTTCTCAAAGGTTAGGAAGGTGGTGCACCAGCCAATAGTTAACTGATAATCAGTTTGCGTGCATGTTAACCTCTTCTTAGCAGAAACCAGCAGCCTCTGAGTTGGAGCCTCCCTCCCACTGCACACCCCTTCCGAAGCCTGCCTTGCCAGTGAGGTCTGCCCAGGCCCGCCTTGCCTGGAGCTGTACCAGCGGGTGGAAGCCTGCCCTGCAGAAAGGACTCATTCATCCTAAATGTCATGCCAGTCTTGCCCTGTGCACACCCATCCAATCCGGGTGTCCCTCTGATCACAAACTCTGGTCTTGTATTGAATCTCAAGAGAGTCAACAACACCTGGACTGAATGACAACACCCCTGCTCCACCCCTCGCTGTGTGACTTTCTGTGGCTTTCTGGGCCTTGTAGGATGCATAGGGTCACACACCTGGCGGTCCTATGGTCTCTGAAACAGACATTCTGGCATCAGGAGGGTACAGGTTGGGGTGGGGGGCCTCGGAGAGGGCCCTAGAACTCAGACAGGGAGCTGTGAGTAGGTGGGAGTCAGACCTTCCCAGTTTCTCTCAAGACTCAGGAATTTTCTTTGAGATGGAGGCAGCAAGCCAGGAGCAAGGGAGAGACAATCTCTGCCTTTGCCTGTAGGCTAAAGATAAATTAGCTGTGTCTTGTGAATCCGAAGATTATCGGGTTACCTGCTGTTCAATTCTTTGCTTTGGCTTCTCTTAATGCCAGGACTTCAGGGAAGTCTAATTTAATTGTCCCAAGTCTCTCGCAGTGCTGATGACTTTGGCTGCAGTTTTTCATAAGCACAAAGGAATAAGGGAAAACCTCTGGGGATATGGCAGTGCTGGGAAGTCCCTTCCTCTCCCCGTGGGGATGTTCCCTCCCACTGCCTCCCTCAAAGGATGTCCCTCTTATTTTAATACTGTAGGTGGCTGGTTCTTCGCAGCATCTAAATCAACTGGAAGTCCCCTGCCTCCAGTTCTCAAATGGAGAGAGTCCTCAGAAAGAGCCTCAAAGCACCCAGAGCGGGCTCTGGGGACTCAGTCCCCAGTGCTTAGAGCTGTTCTGCTCTGTCACAGAGCCAGGCAGCCCTGGGTAATATGGGGGCCCTGCTGGAGGAAAGTCAACACCTGGCCCACGAAAGGATCCCAGCTGTAGTCTCAGGGTTGGGAATATAGTCCACCAGCTGCTTCCCACCCCAGACCTCAAGGCTCAAAGTCACCTTTCCCTCCTCAGAAGAGATCTCCCCTCCTCTGCGTTGTGCAGAGCCCCCCACCCCCAACACCAGGGCACTCTTCTAGTTTCTGTATGAACTGGAAACACTGCCCTGAAAGAAAACAACTCTTAATGACAAACTACAACCCTCCCCACAAATCCCTGGGATTATACGCGGTGGTACTTTGTGGTGATCAATTTATAATGTATAAAAAGAACAAATTACAATGTTGGGATACCCAGAACTAAAATCAAAATCATGTTGGAAGTCAATTATACTTTTGTTTTAAGTATAAGGATGGATAGATAGATAGATAGATAGATAGATAGATAGATAGATAGATAGATAAATAAAGTTACAGCTCAGTTAAAAAAAAATAGTTGGTACTTTGTCCCTGTCAATAGCCAATATTCTACATACTTATCTGGCAGGGGAGATACCATGATGACGAAGGTGGTTTTCCCAGGGCGAGGTTTATCCATTGCACTCTGGATGTGCTGACTCCTGCGATTTCCCCAAATGTGGGAAACTTGACTGCATAATTTGTGGTAGTGGGGGACTGCATTCAAGCTTTCCCCTGGAAAAAAAAAATTCTACAGCCTCTTTTCTCCCTCCCTTGTGCCCACACTTCCTCATTTTCCAGCCCATATGTCTACCCTTCATCAATCTACAGCTGAAACTTGTGACCACTGGTGACAGACCCTGTTGTCCTCAAAGCCGATGCTCTGTCAGGGGCATTTCTGCCCTCAGAGGTGAGTTCAGCTACAGTGGTGTGCTGGTTACATCAGCGAGGAGTGGGGGGATTTGAGGTGGGGGAAGCAGTTCAGCTACAGTGGTGTGCTGGTTACATCAGCAAGGAGTGGGGGGATTTGAGGTGGGGGAAGCCTTTATTTGTAGAGGTTACCAATTTCCATGGTGTAAATACTCCCGCCTACCATATCTGATTCCCAGCTACCAACAGGTTTAACAAACAGCTTGTAAAATTCCTGAATATTTAACAATTCCTCTCACCAGCCAGTCCAAGCTGGCTTCAACATACCATTGATTCAGGAGGACTCCCAAAGAGTCCCTGGGCCCCCCAAAATATCTTGATAAAGTGAGCAACAGACCCAGCAGTAGTGGAGAGAGGGGCCCTCCAGTGGCATTTCTACCCGCTGGCTCCTTTGGCTCTGAGCTCTGGGAAGAGTGTGACTTTAGGGAGTCAGGAGAGCTCTGGGTTCAAATCTTGGTGTGACTTTGGGCAAGTTTCAGCTTCCAATTCTGCAAATTAGGATTGATAAAACCTGTAGGATAACTTTGAGGATGAAACAAGATGCCTAAAGAAAATGCCCAACATATAGCAAGCTCTCAATAAATGTTCTTTCTTTTGCCCCCTCTTCTCAGTCTTAATTTTTTCTGTACTAGTTCAAATAATAATTTTTCAAAGGGTCCAACAGGGGGAGCCCAAACTCAACACTGTCAGGGTGGGGGGACTGGTGATTCAACTCAACTCTCACCACAGTTTAGAGTTTAACTTCAGAAACTTTGAAGAGCATAGTGCTTTTTCCCTTGAGGGTTCT